TACATGGCAACAACAGTTGTAATCTGAGTAACAATTACACTATTTTGGCTGTTGTTACTTAAGATATAAATTGCATGGCTGTTATCATTTACCTTGTACCTTTTGTGAATTTTAGAGCTACTGCATTTGAGCTTGTAGATGTCTTAGAGGTCTCTAATTAGCAAAACTTCGAGGACCCTAAACCCAGCATTAGCACACAATGCTCTTAAAAATATATTTGTTTGACTCAAAACATTATTTCTAATACTCCTCAGCTTCCTAAGGCAGGTCTGTGGTTTGCTGAGCACAAAGTGATAGCCTCTGTAGAATGACTTTCACTTAGTGGAGACTGAATTACTCTGAATAAGAAATGGGAAAACTTGAGTGCAGGGCCTTGTGGAAAAGATTAGAGAAAATAAAAATGGCCAAGGTCAAAATCCAAATAAGAAAATCTCTGGTGCCTGAATCAAAGTGGCAAGATGAAGTAACTTCCTTCCCAGGTGTTGGCACTCCATACAGCCAGGAGGCAGAGGTGCTGCTGTTTTGATGTTGGTGTACAGATGAAGAGGAGGCGTCTGTGCACCTGTATGAAGCTTGCAGCTGGCATATCTTACAGAAGTCTTTCTGTGAGCTGTCTTTGAGGTTTAAAAATACTTCCCCCATTGGACTCCAGCACCTAAGCATCTGGCCATCTTAGGGCCACAGGTGGAAAAGTCATCCTTGAGAAATAAGACTCGCTACTGCTCCCAAATTCATGTTATATAGCAGAGAGTCACCCACCTAAAAAGCGGATACATATAAAACATCTGGAATTGGTGAAACTACCTATAGAAACTACAAAAATCTAGGACTCTCGCAAGTGGAGAAAATCTGCTGAAGGTGAAACTATAATCATTAATTACCATACATAGAAAACAAACCTCTGTGAGAAAGAGCCAACAAAAAAAACATGCACTCTAAGAAATAGAACACAGAACAAGAACGGAAAAATATAAGTTAGAAATGAAACATATCAGGGCATGAACTAAGCACAAAAATTAGACATAGCTAAAGAAAAACTAGTGAATTAGAAGGCAGATTGGAGGATATCACTCAGACTGCAGAAGAGGGCAAAAAAGTTATAAAATATTCAAGAAAAAATAAGAGATGAGCAATAAAATGAGAAGCTTTCCATATAGCCAAAAGGAATCCAGGAGATAGAGTAAGTGGCAGTATTCAAAGACATCATAACTTACACTTTTCCAGGGCATAAGACCCAGACTATGTATGCAAAATAAGTCCTGAGAAAGACTGACAGTAAAGCTGCAAAGTATAGAAGACAAGTTTTTACCCACTGAAAGCCACCAAAAAGAAAAATAAATTTTCTATTTGCTGAGTACAAGAAAAGATTTTTCAACAGTAGAGGCCCAAAATACAACAGAATAATTATTCAGACTGTCAAGGAAAAATAACTGTCAGCTAAAAATTATTCACCAACTAAAATCTTACTCAAAAGTAAGGGCAAGCCAAGTATGGTGGCACACACCTGTAATCATAGCACTCTGGAAGTTGGAGGCAGGAAGATCACAAGTTAAAATCCAACCTGGGCAGTTTAGCAACTTAAGGAGAACTTATTTGAAAATGTAAAATAAAAAGGGCTGGGATGGTAACTGTGAAGGCCCTGGGTTTAACCTCCAATACCACCAAATAAATACATAAATAAAATAAAAAATAAGAGCAAAATACATTTTCTGCCGTATACAAAGTCAAGGGAGAACTAGCAGACAAAAGAAATTAGTAAAGATACAGAAAATCTGCACAAATGCATCAAGCCAAATATATGCATTAATGAAAAATATAAATATTATTTTCAAGTACATATGAGACATTTATAACAATTGGCCGTGTGTTGTACCACAAAGGATGTTGCTGCAGACTCCAAAGAATATTATGTCAAGGGCTGGGGATTTAGCTCAGTGGCACAGCGCCTACCTGGCAGCATAAGGTCGAGAGTTCAATTCCCAGTACAAAAAAAAAGACTTCATCACAAAGAACATCATGCCAATCACATTTTTTACCAAATTCAATTGAATTATATATAAATGAACAAATTCTCAAATATTACCAAATAGTTAGAAATGCTGAAAATAAATAGGAAAACAAAAAATTAACATCCATGTAAATAATTTTCAAGTTAAAAATCCTAATGGAAATAATAAAAAATAAGTATATAACAAAAGTAGTATGAATCAAAATTTATAGGATGTAGTTAAAACATTACCTAGAAGGAAATTTATAGGCTTTCAAATTCATTTTAGAAAAAAATGAGTGACGAGCTAAGTGTTCAAGTAGAAAATACAATAAATGAAAAAGGGAGCTGTGTATGGTGGTGCATACATATCTCTAATCCCAGCACTCAGGAGACTGAGGCAGGAGGATTGCTGCAAGTGCAAGGTCAGCCTGGGCTAATAGTGACTTCAAGGCTACCCTGAACTACATTGTGAGACCCTGTCTCCAAAAAAAAAGAAAAAAAGGAAACAAATGCAAGTTAGTGAAAACAAAGTAGGGAGATGACAAACATAAGCTAACTGTTTGAAAAATAAAAACACCTCTTGCAGGGATAATCAAGAAGAAATAAAAAGATAATTAAAATTGGGACTGAAAAGAGCACAGTGAATAACCTGATGCCATTAAATTTGAAGACAGAAAAAACTGGACAATTCCATACAAAAATAGAATACTGTGGGGAAGAGAGCTTGGCTGGCCTTGATCTGGTGACAGAGGCTGCTCAGGACCATCTGCTTCTCCCAGCCCAATGGAAGCCTGGCGGCCGGAGCCACCTCTGCCTTGGGAACCGGCAGGGCCAGAGATCTGCAGACACGGTGCAGTCTGAGACCGCAGTGAGAACCAAAGGCAGACATGCTTCGGGGCCCTTAACCAGTTACCCATGAAAGCACACATTGTGTTTTCTTCTGACGCTGGCAGGGAACTTAAGTAAATAGTTTTTGCTAAAAGCTGTTACTCATCACTTGGGCCTACAAATGCCCAGGAGATAACGAAACGTAGAGCAAAGCTCGACCTTTATTTTATGAGCTGTGGGTCAGATCCTTCTCACCTCGTGTACAGGGGTCTGTCTAAACATTGCCAGAGCAAAGGTGGTCAGCCCTACATTTACTTAGGTTACCTCAACCCCCTCCAAGAGGGAGGACACCGAGATAAGAGTAAAGTCATTTTCAAGATCCATAGGGACATCCGATGAGCAGCTTTTACAGTATTCCATTCCACACTCCCCGGGGAGCAACATTGACGAGTCCTGGCCATTATCCTGAACCGGAAGTCACCTGGGGTGCAGGAGAAGCAGTCCTGCAACGACCAAGACCACTCCAAGCAGAGACAGCCACTGAATGAGGATAGAACCGCTCCTTGAGCCTGCAGATTTCTCTGGAGCTATGAAATCAGGACCAAACTAGGAATTGGCCAGACCCCCACCCACTGCAGCACCCCATAAAACCAGTGCCTGCTCCTTCCTGCGTGGGCAGTGTGAACCCCTGATCAGTGTCTCCTCCAACTTTATGCAGGCCAGAGTCCTTTCCCTGTCTTCTCCCTTATCAAGTACAGCTTTTGCCTGTTAATTCACGTTGTTGCTTCCGTTTCACTTGCCATTATTACTAAAGCAAGGACACAGACCCGGGACGGTACAAGCATGCACTAGTGACAAAGGTGATGGAAATAACTGCTTTGTGCAGAGTGTGCCCTTTCAGCTGCGAGTGTGGCAGTGGCCCCCAAGGCCTGGGAACAGGGCTGAGGTGAGCCGAGATGGACTGACTGTCCTTACTGCCTGACCAATCCTGAGTCCTTCGGCACAGAAGAGCAGGAGCAAGAGGAGGTGGGTGGGTGGGTGAATAGGCGCTGAGTCATCCTGCCACCTTGAACATCACACTCACCAAAGTGAAGCGAGAGTAGAAAACCAGACGTGTGAGGCCCTTTATTCAGTCCCCAGCACTACAAAAAAAAAAACAGAAAATCTAAATACAACAGGGCATAGTGGCACACACCTGTAATCCCCACACTTAGGAGGCTGAGGGATTGCAAGTTGAAGGCCAGCCTGGAAACTTAAAGAGAGGTCAGATCTCCCCTCAAAAAAGGGCCCAGGCCCAAGTATTTTCAGGTGGATATAAGCAGTTGCAAAAATAGAGAAAAGGGGAAAGCTATCCCACTTATTTTATGAAGCTAATATAACCTCGATACAGAATTTAATACGGGTTATATAACAAAGGAGGACAATCTCACATAGTATATACATTCAAAACCCTAAACAAAATGGTAGCATCAAATGCCTAAAAGCAAGAACTTTTAAAAATACTGTACATCAAGTATCTGGAGTAAGCATCAAACTAATTTAGGATAGGGCCCAAAGGTAAGCATATGGCTGAGGGCATAATATAAATAAGTTGTGATTAGAAAATTGCTCAAGCTGCATCACTGGTATATAGAGGTTTGCTTTGTACGCTTTAGTCTGCTTTCCATATGTTTGTTCTCCTAATAAAGTGGTTTTTCTCATCTTTGTTTTCAGTGTAGGATGGCCAGTATTCATAGTGTACCCCCATGAAGGAGATTTCTTTGTGAGACACCATAGGGTGTGCGTATAAACTTCCTGTCTTCCTCTATCAGTGATAGAGCACCTTTCTATCCTGTGAGGTCCTGCATTCAGTCCCAACACTGCAAAAAACAAAATGAAACAGAATTCTTAAAATGCATCTTTCTGAGGAGAGTTTTGGTTTTCGAGGGCTTGGTGAGGGGGACCAAAGCCCAGCTGATAGCAGTGTGTGAGCTCATCTGCCTGTGAGCGTCCCTGGAGAATGTATGCGGTGCAGCAGGAGATTTTTAGTCCATGTATCAGAACCATAGAAAGATTTAAACACGCACAAACTCAAGGGGAGGGCCAGCAGGTCTTAGCATGAAAAGAACCACTGATAGCCAGTGTCTCTCTCTCTGGGCCTCAGCATTTGTGAGAAGTCCATTTATGTCTGCTCTGATTCCAGGACAGGATCCCATGGCTCTGCAACCTGCATGACATTTTGCTAAGGTAAGAGATCATCTAGCCAGTGAGTGAAAAACCCCATCAGAAAGCATAGGAGGAGATGCACTCTCAAAATCACAACTGGCTGATGAGAAAGGATCCCAGAAATAGAATGCCCTTCTCAGTAATGATGCTGATTTCCAGCAGCCGCAGATGGCGTGCTGTTTAGCCGGGCTGTGGGGCCATGTTTCTGTCTGCTCCGTGGTGAGTACTAGCTGGGAGTTCCCATCAGCCATATGGCTTCCACAGCTCGCTCTTCATAATAACATGAGCTACACATAGTTCCTACTCACAGAATATTGTGGGGGATAAGATGGTGCACGGGTTACACTTAGGATGGCTAATATACAGCACATCACCAGAATGGTAACTGACACCAGCCCTGTTATATCGTCCATCTAAGTCACCATTTTCTTTGGCTGTCAAGCTCTAACAGCCAAGGCGGCCTGGGGCATTTGTAAGAAAGCAAGTACCTGGCTGCCAGGGCGGGAGCTGCCTTGTGCAGCTCTGAATCATTTCTCTGAGCTAACCACTGGAAACGCTGGATGAGACTGGAGAGGAATGAAGGAAAGGTGGAGGTGGGGGTAAATCTTACTGTCCAAGATGAAGCCATGTTTTGTCAAACCAAAACCATCTGGGCCATAGGACACCGGTATGTTTACAACTAAAGATTCAGTGTGCTTTTTCACACCTTACTGACACAGCTGGGGGCCCATCTTTACATGGGCCTCGAGTTTGGATTTAGGGGCTTCGGGTTTAAGGTTTCAGGGTTTGGGAGCTCCTGCCCATCTGGGTCTCTGTCCTCAGTGGACTTGGCAGAGTCTCTTTATAACAGTACTGAGCAGCAGTGGGAGCAGAAGTGAGGCCCCTGGCCAGGAGGGTACAAACTAGATTGAGAATAAGCAAAGCCTCACTAGGTCCCAGTTTAACTTGCTGTGGACCAACTCAACTCCGGAACTTTTTTTTTTTTTTTTTTTGAGACAAGGTCTTCCTGTGTAGTCCAGGCTGGCCTTGAACTGGCTTATGTAGCCCAGGCTGGCCTCAAACTCACAGCAATCCTGCCTCAGCTTCCCGACTGCTGGGATGACAGATGTGCATCACCATGCCCTGCCAGAACTCTTACGTTCTGAAGATAGCGTTCAACCAGATAGGCCAGCCTTTACCACTTACCTTTAGAGTCCCTTCCTGGCCCCAGTGTGACTGCCAGCCGCACTGCAGTGGGCCCTGGGGCCCTGGGGTCTACTCTTCAGGTTCCCTTAGTGCTAGGTCAGGCTGCCTCACGTTTTCCCCTTGGTGTGTCCCTGCAAACATCTCACTTTGTGCTTGCCTTGCCCGCTCGGGGACCCACACTCCTTTCTCCCACGACTCCCCCAGGTCCCCCACTCACTGCACAGTGGATGGGAAGCAGCAAGATGTTGGACATTTTGTGGAGGGCCTGGGCTGAGCTGTTTGTCCAGCACAGGTGCATGCCACTGGCCCTGCATTACTGCTGACACTGAGCTGCACCCCATGTCCACAGGAGCAGAAGGACCCTTCCTGAGCACTCCTGTATCCCAGGTACCTCAGTCAACTTCTTACCACTGCTCTGCAGGTGGCTAACCTGACCAGCCCCATCAGTGACAAGGGACACGTGGGCAGTGAACCTTGCTCAAGACCGCAGTCCCTAATCGTAGATCTTTAACCCAAAGCCAAGTGTGCCTGGTGCTTAAACTTTGTTTCTAACACCTACTGGCAGAGAAGTAGGAGTCCTCACCTAAAATTGATACTATTTTCCTATCATTGTTCATCCTCCCCCCTTTGAAAAAAACAGAGATACAGCCTCAGGACAGCGTGTAGTTCTAGCCTGCTCAGCCCTGAAGAAAATGTACAGAGACATCCTAATAAGAGGAAAAGATAGCGCACCTCTGAAATGCGAGGAGTCCAAGGAAGAGAAGCTGGGCGAGGTGCAGCTCTTGGTGGTCCATCTGAGCGGCTCATTCAAGGTCATCTCTGGACGCTTACTCCAAAGGAAAGGACATTTCATGCCCCCTGAGTTATTGCAGTCCCAGTTCGAGACTCTGGAGCCCCCGACAGCTCCAGAAAACTTCATCCAAATCAGTGTGGACAAAACGCTTTCAGAGATCGTTACTAGAGTTACGGAAACTCTGAAAATGAAGTGAGACTCATTTGCTGTCAGTGGTCCAGAACAGAAGCAGGTGTGGCGCTCTATCCCATTCCAAATCGTGCCCAAGTCTCCTTGCCCTCGTGTTCTAAATTCTTAAAGTGCAAACCACAGTGCATTAAGATACACTTGCCTAATTGCATTCGTAGGGATTTGTGATGTAGCTGGCATGGTGGGGAGGAAAGGGAAGGAAAATGAAACCCTGAAATTTAAGCTGAAATCCATGTGATGCAATTAAAAGTTATTACAGGAAATTGATAATCCATGCTGGTAGTCACTACCTTGTTTGGAACATTCTCTTTCGTGACTGTATGTTTATAATAAATGAAACTTGGCTGTCCTTGGCATCCCCTAGAAATTGGTCTCAGGAGCGGAAATGTGCACAATTGGCTACCTACCCACAAGTCACTTCACACACCTAACCTAACTCTGCCAACCTGTCCTCCAGCTATGGTTCACAGCAGCAGCTCTCAAACTGAGGTCCCAAAGGCCATTCACAGCAGCACAGGCAGGCTTTACCCAGTGCACCCAGCAGCCTAACACACACACATTCATCAGCAGCAAAACCGAGTTTCTTACCTCTTGGCTAAAGTTCTGTCAACTCAAACAGCACTCTGCTAAGCACTTGTATCATGTATGTGGGTGTACTTTAAACAGAAAACTACATAACTACTAAAAAGAGTTTTTGAAATTTGAAAGTTGACTTATTTTTTAATTAATTTGATTGGTACTTTTGACATAATGATCACATTCCTTGTAAGGAACTTGTACCTTACATATCTTTATTTTTTCCATTCCCCTCCCCTCCCTTCAACCCCTCTTCCCTTCCTTATTTACAGCGTTGTTTCCCTTTTTCTCTTTTTCCCTTCCTTTCTTCCCCCTCTCCCCCGTCTTGTTCTCCTTCGCATTTGAACATTTACCTCCTACTTCCCAATTATCTGTTTTGGTCCCTATTTATGCTTTTGGTTTCTCACACAAGAAAAAGTACAATATTTAAATGTGTCGTGTTTATTATTTCAAAATATGGTCTCTGCCGGGTGTGACAGCTGAGGCGGCTGAGGCAGGAGGATTGCTGTGAGTTCAAGGCCAGCCTGAACTGTATGGTGAGACCCTGTCTCCAAAATATAATAAAAGTATGGTCTCAAGATGCAGCTATTTGCCTAAAGTTTCTCAAGTTAAAGGTAAGAGTTTGGCCAAAACTTTTATGATGATAAAAAGGATTATTTTAGCAGGATAAAGATTAAAAGCAATTACATTAGGGAAAATTGTTTTTCAGGTAGGGGAGCTGACAAAATAGTTCACTTGAGAAGTTCTTACTCAGAATGTCTTTGAATTTGCAGACTGTGAGAGCTGGAAACAATTCAGTGATCAGCACAAAGTGTGTGGCACGGTAGGAATGCACAAGGCATCAGATTTCGGCTTCAGTGCTGAGGGGCAGGCATTCAGTGCCTTAAGCATGTGATCCAAAGGGGTCCCCTGACATTCATCTGCCACTACGCTGATGTGACATTGAGTACACCTGTTGGGTACAAGTGTCTTCACCTTCTAGCACTGACTTGTCTCCCATTCCAACAGAGGCAGCTGTAAGCTCAGACCTCTGGTGGATGTAGTCTCACAATTCACTGTTCTGTATTTAAGACTTCTGTTTAGTGACATGACAGTTTAAGAATACACACTGCCGTCTCCCTGTATCTGCAAAGATGCTCGGGTCCTTTCATAAACGAACACTGGGCTGCCAGGAGTCTAGCTCAGTGCTAGCTCGCCCAAGGCCCTGAGTTCAAACCCCAGCACCACAAATACACACACAGTTAGATGACACAGTATTTACATATTACCTACAAAAATCTATACTTTCATCATCTTTAGATTACTTATAATTCTAATACGGAGTACACATGCAAGTAGGTAGTTAATTGTCTAGGGGATAATGACAAGAAAATGGCCAGGACAGATACCATTTTTAAGTTTTTATTCTGAGACTGGTTGAATCTGGATACAGAACCCATGGGCACGGGGCCAACTGTATATTTAAACAGAGTGGGTCATTTTGGGATAAACTCGGTACTTGGTTTGCGGAGATAGCAAACTGCAAAGGTGGCGCGTAGGCGGCAGGGCTCACAAACCGTCTGCCTCTTGCTGGGACGGCAATGGGGTCCGGAGAGCGTGCCTCTCAGGACACCGGGGGTGTGCCCACTGCCCACCCTCCTCTGCAAAAGCCACCAGTGGTGGGTCCAATGCGGGTGAAGAGGGGGCAGTGCAGGGAGGCGGCCCCTGGGGCACGGCTGTGCAGGCTGTGACCTGGAGCCATGGCACGGGAGGACGCTTCATCTCCTCCGGCCAGGCCACAGTCCCGCTGGTTAGCTCTGGCAGAGTGCTTCACGGGGAGTCCTGCATTTTCTTTTACAAGGGCACAATCCATCTCAGGAGCTACCAGTGAATGCTAGTGGAATGAAAAGGCCTTCTGGGTAGAAAGCATCGTGCCTAGGAAAATATGAGCCCTAGCATTTCCACTCTGCCCAGCTCCGGGCCTGCTGCCCAGCTTCAGGTTCCACCTAGCCTAGTTCTCTTGACACAGGCATTAGAAATTCTCCGGTTAACTACTCCGGCTGGATGAGTCTCCCCTGCAGACTCAGAGGAAGGAACCAGTGGGCCCAGTCCAGACCAGGCTGTCACTGGGACTCTGCAGGGTCGGAGGCAGTGACCCGGAGCCCCTGCTCTCCAGAGGCGAGGCAGGGAGGAAAGATGAGGCGCACCTAAAGGCCTTAGAAGAAAGGGAGGGAGCAGCGGGGCCCAGAGGATGGGATTTAAGGCCTGCCGTGCCCCTGCCCCCAGCCCCTTCCTCCCAGAATGAAGCCAAGGCTGCTTCCACCACAGCTGGGCCACCTTTCCAGTCACAATGACAAGAAAAAGACAGACAAGGCAAGGCAGCGGCTTTCAACCTTGGGATGCATGAGAATCCATCATTTGTGTGTCCTCCAGCCCACGGAGCCAGCATCTCTGAGGAGGCTGCCAGGTCCCCGACCGCAGCCAGGGCTGGGAACCCCGGAGAGTTGGGTGCAGGACTCCGCCTGGGCCTGCAGTCTGTACTGAACCCCTCCAGAAGGTGCATGTGACTCTGGTGAAGTTCAGAATGGCTTGGTGCTGACCAGAGGCCCATAGATGATGCACGAAAGCCCACAAGTGACGTGCAAACAGGTGACAATTGGGACTGGCGACATGGGCAGGAGCTCCGAAGAGTGGCTGGGACCACAGGAAGGGGTCACGGAAGAGTGGAACGAACTTCCTGTCTGGCCAAGGACACTTGGGTGTAGCAGACCACAAGGGAAGCTAAGCTGCTGAGGCAGTCTACCCAGAGGAAAATGAAAATGACAGGCCGCTTAAGGCCCTTTTAATAAAGCCTGCACCTCAATTCTCCCAAATGTTTCTCTTGGTTCAGCTTCAGGTGAATATACAGAGACAAGGAAAAGTCAGGATAGCAACTGATGAATGGAAAAACAGAATGTTCTTACCATGGAGTATCACTCAGCCACGAAAAGGAGTAAAGTACTGATACATGCTACATGAATGCTGAAAACAGTGTGCTAAGTTAAAGGAACCAGGAAAAAATGCCACGTATCACGTGATGCAGTTATATGAAAGGTCAGAATAGGCACATCCATGGAGACAAGAAGTATGACTGGGCTGCTAGGGGGCAGAAAAGGTAGGAATTGGAACTAAGTGCTAACAGATTCAAAGTTTCTCGCTGGGGTGATAAAAATGTTCTGGAACTGGACAGCAGAGGTGTTTGCACAACATAGAGTATACTAACAACTACTACATGTACAAATTTGATGGTATATAAAGTATCTCAATTTAAAAATTAATCTAGCAAATGACCACCGTGTGTGAGAAGGGGCACAACTGCAGCTCAGGTGTCTGCCCCTACTACCTGGGGAGGTGAGAGAGAGTGTGAGGTGGCAGCCCCTATTCAGTGTCCCCCGCAGCCCTCCCACCTAGAAGTGACTCCTGGTTTAAAGGTCAGTATTTCTCGGCACAGACCCTAAGAGCAAACCAGCTACCTCATCTTCCCTCAGAAGCAGAGCTCTGACTGCTGCAATGGTGCACAGAAAGGCGCCACACAGGATTTACTGATAGGCAGGCTGTGGTCTGTTCTGGATTTGAAGACACTTTTAACATCGCTGCTTTGTGAACTGCCTAAGACAGCAAAGATATGCCCTGGTCGCTGCGCTGTAACAGTGAAGTACATGGCACAACATGGACAGCCCTTGAAAACACGAAGAGCCCACACATAAGAGAACCCATGATTGTGTGACTCTGTTTATATGAAATATCCAAAACAGACAAACCCACAGAGACACAACACATTGCCAACGCAAGGCCAGAGTGAGGAGTGACAGAGCAACAGGGACCTCCGCTTAACAGCTACATAGTTTCCCTTTGGGTTGTCAAGAAGTGCTGGGTGAAAGTAACAGCTATACAATAGTGTGAATGTACTTAACACCACTGACCCACATCCCTCACATTTTTATGTCTATTTTACCACACTGTTTAAAAGAAGGAACAAGATGACTCCCCAGGCCTTCCACACAGGACTTGAGCCAGCACAATGCAGGAAGCAGACTAGAATAAACGCTTTGTAGTTTCCCAAAGGGGACTCACAGTCAAGAAAGCCTTGTTCCTTCTACAGTATCAGACAAGCAGCTGGGTTGTAACAGTGACCACTCCTTTGCAAGTAATCCTTTCCAAGGTTATCAGGCACAAGGTTACTGTTAACCCTCCCCACAGCTTTTATGAGAGTACACATCCCCCTCCTTCACCGGGCGTTCTGAAGAGAACCTACATGTAGAAGATGCAGATAATAGCTGCTAAGTAATCTTTTTCAGATTTACAGAACCCAGAGTATCTGGTACTCTCCAGATAACATCAGAACATGCAACTCATCTCCTAGTCTGTGTTTCAACAAAGCATGTAAATTGCTGTGAGGTTTGATTTGCAGGAAATTACCTCTCTGAAGAACTGAAGGAGCTACCCCAAGAGGTCCAGGTGTATAGTGTTGTGGCCACAGAAGGGAAGACACGCGTCCCGGATGATGCAGACCCCACTCAGCAACAGCCTGCCCACGGGACCCCGCTGACCTTTCCCTCCCATCAAAGCCCTCCACATCCCTGAGTCCCTGCATGTGGAGCTCTGAAAACAACATCCCTCTGCTCAGGATCCCACCCATGAATATAACTGATTTCCTACCAACTCTCATCTCCAAGGTTGGCTTCTGAGCAGCAAGTGGCCAGACCCGAGTCAGATAAGGGTCACAAGTTACTACCTAGAGCGGCATCAACAGTG